TGCAGCATTTCAATACACCTTACTTCATTAGCATTATATATAGTATCTAATGATTTCCTGACAGCTTCTTTTTCTATATATAAACAATTAATACATTATCTGGCATCTCTATCATCTATGTGACCTTGCCTTATATCATATGCGCCCCTAGTCCGCAAATGCAGACGTTATAACTCCGCTTTGCTAATCTGAGGGTGCGGGTTTATCATCACCCCCATTACTGGGGTCTGCGTCGGCTCGGACTAATGCCCCACTGCCATTGTCATTGTCAGTATGAGGAACTAGCTAGAGTAAATAAATTGCTTGCTATATAAGCAGGGGTTGTCTAGTAATAGTATAGGGGTATTCTAACCCTAGCAAAGACCGTTTGTTGGAGCTAGTAATAGTACTATCTCTATAGTCCGAGCCGACGCAGACCCCAGTAATGGGGGTGATGATAAACCTGCACCCTCAGATTAGCAAAGCGGAGTTATAACGTCTCCATTTGCGGACTACTAGCTCTAGTACTATACTATATAGTATTAGTACTAGTAGTAGTAACTCTGGTACTATAGTAGTAACTAGTAGTAGGAGTAATAGTAGTAGTAGTCTAGTAGTACTAGTACTAGTAGTAGTAGTAGTACTGGGGGGGGGGGTAGTAGGTAAGTATAGGTACTAGTAGTAGGTACTAGGTATAGTAGACTAGTTCTATGAATATGAAGGAATGCAATAATAACACTGGTCATTTCACCTCTAAAGGACAAACGGCAACGGAATGAAGTTATTTACGGGTAAAACTCACGACGTGATGATGGTGATGGTGTGTTGTGGATATAGCGTAGTGGCACCATCTATCGAACGGCATATGTGCTAGACTGACGTTCGTACGGGCCGTATACCGGTCATGTATAATCACGGGAAATTTGCCCAGCAACAGAGCTCGGCTCGCTGGTAGGCGCGCGTGACGATACACGTCTCGGTGATTGGCAGTGGCCGTGGGCGTGTCTCGACGGAAATCGTTTAAATTCGGTTTTTTACAGGAAACAAAGCGCGCCGAGTAGCCAAAAATGTTGTACGAGCATCTCTAGCAAATGTCTAGCTACCTGGGTAGTGAAAGCCGTCCTGCAATGGCCACAACTGCTGAACGCACTGATTATACGGCTTTCGTGTATACCCAAAGGGACCCGTTTAAGGTGTTGGAAAGAGTGCAGCGAAGTTGTGTAAATGTGCCGCTACACGGCGTTTTTCGCGCTTCGCGCGGATATCCGGGCTGCCAATTGTCTAGGCACCCCAATACAATAGTGAAATTTTGCCACAGTGTATTGCCAATTTTTTTACATGTTTATATCTCCCCCAAAATCTATAGAGGGCTCTGCAAATATTCAAATTACCCACAATGCAATGCCGCCGGCCATGACGGTTCCAGAAACCAGCTCAGGCATGGTACAAGTACATTGAGCAATGCACTGCACTGTTCTCTGCTCATTTTATTTGCCTATTAAGCAAATCCATCACAACGCCGCTCTCCTGCGGTGTTGTCAACTGCAGCAATCGGTATCAGAGAGAACCACACAGCTTTTTTAGGCTGCCTAGCATGATCACAACACAAGGTAAAGTGACGAGAGACAAGGCGGACCACAGATGCTTGGAGCATTTTCAATAAACAAGTGCCGCAGAGCGACAGCGCTCAACTGACGTGTACTGTAGCCAGGTATTCTTCTGATAAACTCA